AGAGAGAGAAGGAGGGTTGATACAAAGTATGGCCATTCAAGCTGCTCCTTGGAACATCCACCAACTCACACCAGCCAAGCCACCCACAAATACAAAGAGGTCCCTCATGCCCAGTTTCTAGAAACATCCTGACACACACTTGTATGTAGCATCACTCAGCTCAACATTACCTGTGGTTTTATATAATTGGCTGCACACACACTCATGTGTATAAGTGTATAAGTGTATAAAAAAAGTTACTTTTTTTTTTTTAAATCTCACTGGGATTACACACTTATACACTCCAAGGTCTCATGTGTACACTCCGGGGCCACCTACTCTCACACTCAGGTGTCACCATCAGTGAACGACTGACCTGATGACTGATCAGGTTCTGGATGTCAGCGGTGGAAGGACTAGCAGCTTCATCGTCCGAGAGGGTGAATCATTCATCCCAGGCTCTGCTCCGCTGGACCTCATGTTGCACCTCCCCAAGCCCAAGTGAACTCTCTTAGTCAGGACCAACTGCCTGGGTCAGGCCCAGAATTTCTGGGCTGGGGGTCTGGGCACACCTTTGCCCCCAGGGTTGCAGCCCAGCTGTGCCTGCTCAGCATCTCTCCAAGAAGTCCCAGCTCTCCAGGTCCTCAGGCCTGTGGTCATGACCTTAGCCACACCACAACTACCCATCCTCACCAGCTTGACTCCTGGAGTCCTCAGGCCGCCTGTCCTTCTCCCCACAGCTGGTGGCTGACTGGACCACAACCACCACAAAGCTGGCACCACCTGGACTATAGGATAGATGGCGTGGACAGCTCAAAAGGGGGACCCTCTACCCCAATTAAGGCTCTGAGCCTTACCCCCATTATGCAATTTCAAGAGACAGAAACCCAACTTAAATGAGAAAGGGTATTTATTGGCTGATACACCTAAACTGTCCAAGTGATCATCCCAACATCAGGTACAGCTAGATCCAGGGAGTCCAAGAATATGAGCAGAATATTGTCTCTCTTGGCTCTGCTGTCTGCCCCAAGTATGTTGACTGATCCAAGATGAAGACAGACTCTCTCTCTTAAAGAACAAATGACAAATATCAAAGAAAAGTAATTGGCCTGGACACACACTCATGCCTGACCCTCTGTGAATGGCTGTGCCTGGAGAGTAGAGTCTCTGATTAGCCGAGCCAGGGTCACATGCCCACTTGTGGGGGAGGAGGAGCCAAACCAGACTCTCCTGGAATGGGTTTTCCAAAGCAAAGAAGAAAGAGGGTAAGGAGGACTGGACCCACCCAGAACGGAGAACTCTGGCCTGTTGCCTTGACAGGTCTAGGCCCCACCCACCAGCTCTCAGTCTGAGTGATGACAACACACCAGGGGTAGACAGTGACCATATGGCGAGCTAGGGCAGGTGCTGGGGCAGGAAGGCAGGGTTAGCTGCTGACTAGGACCCGCGGCAGAAGATGGAGAAGTCAAAACCAGCCTACGACAGGGCTCAAGGGCACCAGACTCATGGGGACACCATCTTGAATCTGTCCTCTTTCCCAAGGTTGCCCTGTCAGGGAGGGGCTGAGGCCAGAGAGCCCGGCTCCAGCGCCCGGCTCCAGCG